ACCATTTGCCAGCTGTGTGGCTTCTGGCAGAGCACCTAAACAGAGTTTAAACAAACCTGGAGAAAATAACATCTATCTCACAAAGCTGTGATCATTAAATTTAAGTAGTTTTATTTTTGGTAGTAGTTACTATAAAGTTATGTAAAACATTGTGTGGGAGAGCACTGAAAAATGTGAAGTACTATTAAAAATGTAAAAGAAATATTATATTATTATTGTTTTCTTTATTACTTGAAGTGTGGAAGGAAGTGGTCCGGAAGTAGATTCCAGGAACAGAAGCAAGCTTGTTGGGGAGAAGGACAAGGGCAGCTGGGCTGATGATGCATTTGAGTTGAGTAAAAACCAAATGCCTCTTATCAGCTCTTTACTGACAAGGTCAGACTCTCTCTCAGTCACTGAATACCCCAGACAAGATCTGCAGCAATCTGCACAGGTCTGAGACCCAGGCTCCACACCTGCCCCAATTATGCCCATCCAGAGCAGTGCTGGATAAGGAATGATGCCTAATAAATGCTATCTGCTCCCATATTTGTATCATTCTATATTTTAATTACAGAAATGACCCTAATCATGTTTCAGAAAATTTGGAAAATATGATAAAAAGAAAACATTTAAACATTTTGGCATGAAGTTTAACAGAAACTCTACCATAATTTGATGTACTTCTGTGCTTTTTTTTTTTTTTTTTTTTTGTATGCTTTTTAATGTTCTTACTTTAATTGTATTTGTATAGGCTGTTCTATGTTCTGCTAATTTCCTTCCTTAATATATAATGAGTATTCTCTCGGTACGTGTTTCAGCATAAACATTAATTTTAGAGTTGGTAGAATATTCTATCCATTCAACAGATGATGTGCCAGTCTCCTATTGTTGGATATTATGTTACTTCCATTTTTTAAAATATTAAACAATGTGACAACAGACAGCTTAATGCATCTAGCATTTTCTGTATTTAAGATTATTTTAAGATACCCTAAAGGGCTGGGCGTGGTGGCTCACGCCTATAATCCCAGCACTTTGGGAGGCCGAGGAGGGTGGATCACGAGGTCAAGAGATCGAGACCATCCTGGTCAACACGGTGAAACCCCATCTCTACTAAAAACACAAAAAATTATCTGGGCATGGTGGTGCAT